TTTACTTTGTTAAAACCTATATAAATAATAATCACGTGTTCAGCACAAAAATATCTTTTGTTGTTTAGAATAATAAAAATAGTATTTGAGATTCATTCTTTTAGATCTGGCTACTTTTATACACTCTTTATCATAATCCACAAAATCACAATGAAGAAAATTGAACTAACATTTGCTGGAACGTTGTTGTTCCAACAGTAGTAGACATTTGACTAATACTGTTAAATAAAGCTTCTGCCTGTAAATTTTCTGGCAACCTAGTAAGAAATTGTGCTCCATGTACAAAATCCATTTTCAATAATTCTTCCTGATATAAATGTAATACGCCGAGTGCTGTTCTAAAGAGGAACTCGTCTCCATCTCTGAGAAAAACATCCCAGATTCTACATGCAACATCCAGAGGCATTGCTTTGGCATATATAGTATACAACCAATCTAACAAATATAAATCTGGACTCAGACCAGCTTCTGTAAAATGAGAAAAGACTTTTGGCAGCTTATGTGCAAGTGCACTAGAATATACTTTGTAGTAAATCTCCATTCGTTTTTGGTCTAATGTAAAAGCGGCCCTGTGACAAGGATGATTCAATAAATTAGCAAAGCAAATAAAGGCATCTGGAGGTTCCATGTTTAATGATAATATAGCACCCACAAAACTCATACCTTGTACGTAACCTACATCAGGTCTATAAACAGCGTAAGCTGCCAAAATACCTTGTAGACTATCAGATAATGGTCCACCTTCTTGAAAGACACATAAGGTAGGAAAGGTACGTGATACATCTAATTTGATTGCAGCTAGTGTGTCACTTACAGGACTTGTCATTGCTCTGTCAAAACATATATTGTAAAGATGTGTTGTTATATTTAAATTATTCGGAATTGCCAACTTCCACACTTTACCACGAACACTGGGTGGGAGACCACGCCACCACAGTTCACGTACTTTTTTTGTGTTCTTAACACTTTCAAATTTAGCGAGGACTTGTACATTCCAAGTGTGAGAATCTTCTGCTAATCTTTCTTCTTCTTTCAACTGTAGTTCTCGTTGCTGTTTGCGTTCTCTCTCTTCTTTTAATTCTCGTTTCCTTGCTGCTTCTAGAATTGCACTATATTGTTTACGATGACGTTCTTCTTCAATTGCATTCTTTGCTGGTAGATTCGCTGGTCTCGGCTGTTGAATTAGAGCTAAACTTCCTCCTACCTTATCCACGTTCCTTGATGGACTACCTGTAGGCGTAGATTGTTGAGAATCTTTGTTCTTCCATAAGAAAACATTCTTTGAGAAAAGTGTATTTAGTCCCCAACGCTTGGACTTCTCAACTTTTTCTGGGACATGTTCATCAGAACTCAAAAAACTACCAGAAGGAGAAACTTCGCTAAGGGAAGACACAGTACTACTACAAGAACGTGGTAAACTGTTTCTAGGACTACTGTTTGCACTACCACTCTCAAATCTAATATATTTATCTTCGTCAGCTTTTGAAATCCCATTTAAGGATTCATCTTTTTGGTCACAAGGAAAATTTGAATATTGAGATTTACAATCCAGCTGTGTGTCATTGGATACATTTACTTCTTCTAAAGAATATAATTGTTTTGTAGTTGGATTGTAAGCTAAAGACATACTCTCCAATGCATGATTTAAACTGGTTCCTGCAACTCCCACAGAAACCACATTTCCAGCATCGTACCATTTGTTTTCACGAATATGGACGCATAGAGCTTTAGTTTTTACAATAGGCATTGAAGCCACATCGCATGCCAATGCTTCATTAATGTTGACACTATTGCAGGATATAGAATCTCCATTTAATGACACCAATTGTTGTTTTCCAATTTTTGGAACAATATTGTTAGCAATATAACAATTAGAATCTTTCCCAGATACTTTCAGTACCTGGTAGTTGTTAGATGTATTCCCAAAACGGGACACAATACATGGAGACACATTTTGCGACGGAACCGGATGACTATTTCCATTTAAGTGTTGAGACACAGGACTCTTCATGACTGGTATACCTTTTCTAACCTTATTAACACACGAAATATTGGTTTAATAAGAACACGCCAATCGTAGATCACTTGCTCATACGTAATAAATATAAACTTGTATATAAGCATATTTCCTCATTACTCGTCGATGATGCTATAAATGTGTGTCGTCGATGCTTTTAATTACGTCCACTACGTGATGAGACAACACCCTCATGTAAAGCGTGCTTACTTTTAACATATTTATTTCATCTCAGGAATTTCTGAGCTTAAACATGATTTAAATGACCACATTCTCCAAGATTTTGCCCTTTGATAATTAATAGCGGACCGCGCCGATTGTGCTTTTTGCTTGAACTGCCTTCTGTGCAAAGAGAAGTGTTCAGCGTTTCGAATCGTAAATTTCTTCTATTGAATTCATTATGTTAAAAAGCATCCGAGAATAGCATTCTTTTTCCACATTAAATAAACTGTGGTAAATATTTGCATAATAGAATATAACTTCATCGATAAATATTTGACATACTGATTCTATGTGATGCTATGAGAGAGATTTTACACTGAGTCGAAACTGACAGATGCGTATATGTATATGGTAACATGTTAAAGAAAGCTGTGTATATGTGTAGTTACTCTTTCCTGTATCAAAAATTGGTATAAATATTCGGTGATATTTCAGCCAATATTATAGTAAAACAAAAACAATTTAATTGCTGATAGAGCAATAAATTGTGAAAAGTAAATAATTTGTCGTGTATGTGGTTGCTATAATCTTGACCACTGCAACAATAACGAGATCACGTGACCACATGAGTGATCGTAGTCACTGTGGTCAGTGGCCCCTATTAGGTTGATAACATAACATTATTTTTTTAACATTTATGAGAATAAACTGATTTAATATTAATGAATATACAATTCTGTTAATAATGCAATATTGTATGTCAAATCAATGCATGAAAAAAAAGTATTGCATGTAGATATAGAATACATATAGAATACGTGTACATATAGAATATCTTTAAAGTTTGTATTTTTACATCAGATAAAACTAGTTTACATTACGACAGTGAGATTTAGATGTCAAAAGGAAGAGAGAGAGAGAAGGAACCATTATATTCATCACAATAACATTTTTATTCAATTGCAAAGATAACTTTTTACTATTTGAATATTATCTTTTCATCGTTATTGGATATTCGTTATCTGTAAATCATGGGGTATTTTCTAAAATTAAATGAGATAAAAATAATAATGTTATGTTTAAAACTCGAAATTGTCATAAATAATATACTTAAGAATTTATAATAAACTACAACAGTCACTTGGAAGGCCATAAAAGTAACGTAATTTTGTACATTGAAAATAGTACTTTACCTTAAAGTAAAAATTCCTAGGACGTCTGTGTCAAAACAGCTGATTGCAGAAATTGATGGAAACGAAAATTCGTATTAATTGAAAGCTACTGAAAAGTAGGTTAAAAAAGGTCAAATATCAGTCGTGTCATTGCCGAATCTCAATAAACAGTCGTAATTCTTTCATTGAAATATAACTGCTAAGTGTGAATTCTTAACATAACAGATGTTTGTTGTAAGAAATGTCACAAATTGATA